TTTTGAGACTTGTAGAGGGTTTGAATTGAAAACAAAATGGAAAACAATTCCCTCCCCTCAGCCATATGGGTTTAAAATCAATAAATAAGCAGTATGTGTTGTCTCTAACCTGGAGCTGCCATAGCAATCAAATTTATATTGGCCTTTGGCTGCTGCCGCATAAGGCTGCAAACACAAGTGGCTCCACCAGCCTGGTACTGGTGACTGTAGAGCAATGTTCAGGGATAGCACGGTGCCAGTTTGTGGTAACTGAGGACTTAAACACTTCTCATACTACTACGAGGTAAGCACATCTCCAATTTATTGGACACGGCACAATGTAGCTAGACAACACATTTACAAAAATACTGGAAAGCTATTATTTCAGATGTACAAATATACAGATGCAGGCTCGTCTTCATGAGAGGAAAATACAGAAATCTCATACAAGCTTCTTTAAGAAAATAAAACCAGTAGCAACAAACAGTAAATTATGCCCATGATCTTAAATGTTAAATACAGAGAAATACAAGTAGTGTGTCTCCAAGTTAAGGATTATTTGGCTTTCTACTGAATTTTCCAGCAAGGATTACAAAGCTTGCATAAAGTGCTAATCCCTCAGACATCCAAGTGACCCTTGGGAAAGAAAGCATGTTAAAGGCAGGGGAAGGAGAGGAGAGGAAACATTTTACAAATGTGGGCCATGGGATGTAGAAGTTGTCTGAAATTCAGAAACTGCAAGAGACCGTGAACTGCAAGAGGTTCTTAACCCTTTGGTTGTGCTTCTCTCTATCATGTAGTTTTCCTTAACATTAATGGCTGTCTTCAGGGAAGGCTTTAAGGGTACTTAAATTAAAATCTTTCTAAAGTGCTGTTTTCAAAATTCTGGAGGTTTGAGTTTTTACTGTTTTTTAATGTGAGGTGTTTATAACCTTGCTTTGTGAGCAGACAAGTTGACACACGACCTGTATTACAAGGCTTCAGGAAGCATGGCCGTTTCTGTCCCCCAGTCAAACACAAGCTGGCTGTAGCTTGTGTTGGGAATATGCAAATTTCAAATACAAAATGTACAAATACAACCACTCCTCAGAGCAAGCCCAGCGCTGATGCTTTTGTGTAAAATTGCTGTGAACTGGCCATGGCTTGAGCAAAGTGCAGGGCTGCCAGTGTAACAGCATTTGCCTGCATTCCCATGTGTGCCTGCATGTGCGTGATCTTAAACTGAGTATTTCAGCCCTGCATGCACAGTGCTCCACAGCTGTCAAAAAAAGCACTGTGCACTATTATTTGTAGCAATAGCTTTAACTTTACATTTATATACATTTGGTAATAGCTGCAATCAACTGCCTTTTAAATAGACAGATGTGTCCATTTTGGGGAGTTTGTAAAGTTTATGGCTTTACAGTTTTCAAAGATTATATAAGATGACTTTGGAATGGATTATTAAATTTCAGTATACAGTCAGCCTTATTCAGGCACTGTGTAATATGAAACAAAATCTACTTTTAAACTATATAGTGATTGCAGGTAGCTGGGTGTTTCCAAGTGCTATTAAGTAAAAGCATGTACACACCTTTCTGAACACACACGGCTGTATCTGTTTGGTGCTTTCCTTACTCATACTCCATACAGCCACAATCGACCTGCTGGAATAAATCAGGGGGTTTTGACAAGCGCTATGATGAGAACATTGTTCTCAACTGGAGGTATTGCAGATTTGAGTCTCACACTGGACATAAACTAACAATACAGGGTATGAAGTATAAAATCATTACTCTTTTTTTATCTAGTATATGAAAAACAGGCATATGTGAAAACTACAAGCTGGAACGAGCAACCTACGGTGATGTTCATGTAAGTCTCACCTGTATAACACCACCGTCTGCACTGCTCTTCCTACTCATTTCTGACTTGATGGCAAAGGTATTTATTATGCCCCCTAGGTGCTTTTCACCCAATCTAGCCCCTTGTTTGAAAGGACACTGTCGTGGAGTTCACTCATGCAGAGTTCTGGATTGCTGTCAATTATGTATTTCTTTTTCCTCAACATAAAGAGATTTTAGTACTAAACTGGCTGGGTGGATATTCAAATTGAGCTGTGGGAAAATCAACAGAGTGAGACTATTTAAATGACACTGTGAGAACTTCCTCGCTGATATGCCTGAATGTGAACTTGGTAGAACTATTGTATGTGTTGAGGTGAAAGGGTAATTTAGTTTTCATGGTCAGAAAACCATGATCTATGGGTAGAAGACTTGTGGTGGTATTTTTATAATAAGCACACCACACACTGGCATGAAACTGAAATGTTGCCAGTTTTAAATGATAAATTAGAATTAAATGAAAGCTCACCACTCCCTGATGTCCTTTATCATACAGAGCACTGTGCGCCCAACCCAGGGAAAAAATGCCTAAATGTGAGTGAAGAAATACATCAAGAGAGCAGTGCTGCTCAGGTACTTGAAGTTATGCAACTGCTGCATTAGTTTCAACAGCACTGAAGGCTTATTTTCTGAGGATTGTTTTCCCTTCAAGGTAAACAGCCAGCTAAAATTTAACTTGGTTATAGTTATCCATGCAGTCACCTCTTACTGCATGTTTCTAGCTGAGCTTGAGAAGCTACAGTACCATTCCGCATGCAAATAACATCAATCTAATTAATTAATAGCATTCATTGGAAAAAAAACCTCATAAATTTTAGAATAAAAAACACCTAAAATATTTTTTTTTTCCCTTTTCAACTTCCAGCAGAGAAAAGTGAACTAAATTAAAACCAAACTCTCTGCTCAAGTCAGGTCATCATGACACGAAGCAGTACAAACCAGTAAATCCAGCAACGCTGACAGTCCAGCCTGGCAGGATGTACACAGGCTCTTGAGCCATGGAAAGCTGGGAGGGCTTTGGATGTGAGCTCTGTGGCTGCAAGCTGGCTTAGAGGAAGGAAAGAAAGGTCAGCGTGCCACAAACGGCATGTAAGGCGAGACGCGTGTACGTGGATTTGCACTGCTGCATGGCTGGAATACAGCTCCCTCCTGCTTTGGGGATAAACTAATCTCAAGTTTGTGTAAGCAGTATAAGATAACCAGTGTTCATGCTACTGGTATATCACGGACAGCATTTGGGTTTAAGTAGGAACGCAGGAAAGCAGCTGACTTTCCCAGTAAGAGAAGTGTTACTGTACTTCAAAAGGAAAACAAACCAACCAACCAAAAAGCTCCTAAGCTACTAATGAAGCATTGACTGGTCAGAAAATGCAAACTGAACTCTCAGCTTCTCTACTGTAGATATTACCCAAGAAAACCTAAGTGCAGTGCAGCTGGAGGCACAGCCAGTGTTCAAAGCTACCTAAGCTCCAGTTTATTATGCACACATACAACCAGACCATTCTGAAGTGCAGTGAAATTGGTTTAATTTCTCAGGCTACATGAACGAGGTGCTAAGGAAGCCACATTCCCCTTCCCTAAAGGCTGGTCAGTACAGTTGATCCAGGTAAGATCTTTGCAAACATGAGCCAAGCATTTGACCTTTTGTGCTTCTTTGAGCGCAGCAGGTACAGCTGTGAACAACTTGCTGTGAAAGAGCAGAACAGCTCTCTGGGGCTGGAGGCCTCCTCTTCTCTGCCCTGCACTGTCACAGCTCTCCAAACACAGCTGGGCTGCCACTGCCAGGCACTTCAACCTCCACAGGTCTTTAGAAACTATAAATGCAATGACTCCACAAAGCTGACTAACGACAGCAGAGCCCAAAGGAAACGGTTCACTTCATGGGCTGGTTTGTTTGCTTCACTGAAGTGATAGCACAAGGCAGTGCTGAAAACTTTAGGGTCAAAAATAGCTAAACTGCACAGAATAGGAGAGGCTTGGCCTCGGGTGTGGGACTGCATTACTTAGTGTAAGATGAACTTGTAGTGATAGCTCAGACAAAAAGTTATGTCTGCAATCTGAAGAAGATAGCAAGCTTTCTAATTAGTACAACAGGTCTCTTACCTTTCAGATGTCGTCAGGCACATCATAAACGTGAGAAAACAAAAAAGTACATCTACCAAAACCTCTTGATTTCTAGTGTGCGAAATGCAACATTAAGAAGGTCCAGAACTGTTAAGCTTTGGTCAGTATATTGAGAAGCACTGCAAGATGTTTTATTTGGACCTATCTGTAAAGCTCAGGACAAAAAGCACCTTAATCTTCAAACAAATATTAATGCAGAGAAGTGCAAGCAACTGCAAAGCCTCATACTCTCTGAAAGAAAAAAACCTAGTTTGCTGATGGCTCTTTGGACATTGCTGCAGTGATAAAAAGGCACAGTACCTGCTAATAGGTAAGGAAGGAAGCAATCTTGAGTTTCAATCAGTGTTCATGGTATCTGTGTAATCCAGAGCAAATGATGATGAAGAGACTAAAGGCAATTTTATCAACTGGGATCAAATCTGGAAGTTCTCAAATTAAAACAATGAGTTTTTTAATTTCATACTGCAGCCACATTTAGCCAAATGTGTTCTATCTTATGTAGTGCATTTATCATGACCATAAGGTTCTGGGAATTTTTACTGTTAGAGAACTTTAAGAAATACAAATTAAAAATGTTTTTAACCTTTGTCATCTATTCCCCAAAGGCGTCTTTTCTTCCTTTTTGGTTATGCCTCTGAGACAAATACAGAGCACTTCAAACATTTGCTGTATTTATGGGACATGGTGACATGGCAGCCACTTGGAACAAATTTCAGGGATTGAATAAAAGGCAGATGGAGGCTTGTCCAGGGCAAACACGCTGACTACTCTGTTTTCTAATTTCACAGTTAGGGTGTTGAAGAATAATATTTAGTGTGGGACGTTTCTGTTAACAGCTGTTAAACAGTAACATAGTTTATTCAATAGTAAATTATGTGGCAATGCTTAAATTCACAAAGAATGCAAGAAAATACTGTTGCTACACAAAAGAGGAATAGTTGAAGTGGACACTAAGGTCCACAATTACTGAATCTAAATACAGAGAAAAATAAAGAAAACAAAACTTCAAGATGCAGAAATAAAGATTTTTGTGTTATTTATTAAAACATAATTGCTTTAAGGATCACAGTTAGAAGTCAGATTGTATTGAATATGAAATAAATTGTTTGTCTTTGGGCAGTTAGCAGTGATGAACCTAGTCACCTAACACAAAGTTATGCTTATACCATTTTATCCAGGGCCACATCTTCACACCAACTACAGTGGGTTTTGTACTATTATGTGGGAATCTCAGAAACACTTTTATCCCCAGTTGTAATGTAGCTTCTTCCTCATTGGCTTTAGGAAAGAACAAACAGTAAGGATACCTTTAGATATACCTTTAGTTGTTACTTGTACACACTTTTTTAAAGAACAGAATGTAAATTTTATGAACAAGCAACATCACTTGCGCTTTTAATGAGGAGCACCCTGATCTGATCTTATGTCCCATGGGACTTCGTTCAGGTGACAAGGATATTACGTCTATGAAGATGAACCTACACATCATCAACGTTATGCTATCACACGATGGATGCATCCAGCATGGAATGGAGAAGAGCAAAACCATATGGCCAGCAAGTACTGAACTAAGACTTGCCATTTCATGCATAAACTAAACCACAGGAAATTCCACCTGAACACGAGGAAGAGCTTTACTGTGAAGGTGACTGAGCACTGGAATAGCTTGCCCAGAGAGGTTGTGTAGTCTCCTTCCTAAGAGATATTCCACACCTGTGTGGACACAATAGTCAGCAATGTGCTGTAGGCAACCCTGCTTTAGCAGAGAGGTCAGACTAGATGAATCCCAGTGGTCCCTTCCAACCTCAACCCTTCTGTGATTCTGTGATTTCCTAAACTGTTGGAGAATTTCAGTATAATTTTTACTGACTAGCAAAATTTGTTGTATTTTAATAGATTCATAAGTTCTTGTGCTTTATCTGTTTCTCTGGTTTTTGAATATATACACAATTTACTGCCTTAAATGCATGAGCTGCTTTATATCCACATCAAAGAAACAAACATCACATTTTTTTCAGTCAAATATTTTTGTGGTAAAACATTACATTCTTCTTTAATGTATAAAGCTAACATAGTCTAATTCCTCTTTTAGAGTTACCCCAATTATAGTGGCATGACTTTAAAATATAAAATATGCAGCTCCACTAAACAGCACTGAAATGAGCCTGATGTGTATCAAAATGTCATCTTTTCAATTTCTTTTTTGCACTTAATCTCACTATAATTTGATGTTAATAGCTGTTTGAGTATTCAGCATTGGAATTCAAAACATTAAGATTATTAAGAGTTGTAGTCAGTGAAGACATCTCTACTTAAAGCTTCTGAAATACAGAATTGTGAAGTTGATGAATTGAGGATTACAGCCAAGTGATTAAGCTTTAGTAAATGCTAAACTTTAAAGGAAAATAACATAAACCAAAGCTTAGCAGGTCTGCACACTCATTACTTCTGTTGTAATATACACTGAAATTTTACTAAGCTTTCCTATTTTTGAAGGAGAGCGACACTGAACGGTGCAGCGAACAGCATACTGAACTCAGCGTTTCAACACAGGATGAGCACAGACAAGAGTATGAATGGATACTTTGTGCCTAACACTTTAGTTACTCATGAAGGTGAGCAACAACTATGTAATCCCGGACAGCTGACTTTGAAAAGATATTTCTGTGAGTCAGATTAATTAATAAAAAGTGAAATATCTGTGAGAAAATGTGGGTAATATTTATTTTTAATCCTCCAAAATCCTGTATTATACACATGCCCACATGCAGCCATGCACACAGTGTATTAAAGTAAAAAGTTCACACCATGTCGTATCAGAAATTTGAGAGCGTGTAGTATGTAAGAAAAATGTTTAAGATAACTGTTCTTAGAAATCTGACAACTCTATTCATTGTCACTCTTATACATATCTTAAAAGCAACCTAGCCAAGTTTACAAAACATTTCTTACGACTGTTGTGGTTTTTGCAGTTAAGGAATCAGGGACGCACAATATGTACATCAAGCTTAAACGGCTTGTGTATGTTACAAGTATAAAGCAGTAGGCAGAGTTAAGTGTGACAAATACACTGAAGTCTTGACATTGCAAAATCTTGACCAAAATAAACAAACAAAAAAATGACCCAGAAATCATCTCTATGATAAGAGAAAAGACATTTCACTTTTTGTGAAAGAGAAGAGGCTTCACCATCCCTGCCAGAATCTTGGGTAGCTGGGCAGCAATCACCTCTGACATCATCTCAGGGAATTCAACACTCAGTGCACGGGACTGGAGAAATGTGTTCAGACAGAAGAGATGGAGCTGTTTCACTAGCTGGATTTAACAAAATACAAACATGATAAATCAAGATAACAGTAATCAGTCAGGCAAGCATGCTGCAAATCACATATCTCAAACATCCATCAGCTGACATCTTTATATACCTTCCTCTGTCATTTCCTGAAGCAATAATGAGAGTGCTTGTCATTCCCTATTAAAATATCCTCCCGTGGCAAAAATCATAAACTAAACATAGCCACATGTCACATAAAAACAGTGCCTTACTGATATTACAGAGTATCATCCTCACTTATGACAGGCACCATGAACAATGGCAATTACTAAGCAAATATTCAAACTTATTTTATTCTCACATTCAGCACATCTTAGTGCCTTGACCACTGTGTGCTGTCCAAACACTGCTCTGAGGGACAGCATTTACTGTTTGCCTGCAAGCTTTTCCACAGTTCTGATTACGATCGTATCTGGGTATGCCACAAACATTAAACACCACAGGCCCTCATCCCCTGAAAGCAACTATGACTGTTTTACCTCTTCTACCTTCTCTCGGAAGTTCAAATCTTATAGTAGTTTTTCTTTAAGACCTGAGATCTTTACACTGTGAAACATTGTACTATTTCTCCTACCTTAGATCTTAACAACACAGTCTCTCCAATGTGATGATCTTGTATCTCCCATCACTTTATCAGCCTAAAAAAGGCATTTGAATGAAGGTACTTTATAGACCAAACATTACCCTCACCATCACCTTGCTGGATATTTTGCAGCAAGGCTCGCTCACAACCACTAAGACTATCTTACTTTAAGCATTTGAAATTAAGAGATTGACTCTACAGCCAAAGAGGAAATCTCAGAATTTTCCTCTGGGTGCTATGACTCTCAGATTGCAAGTTATTACTCCAGGTAAGGCAGGAAGCCCTTTTATGCTAAGCAAGACTGATCCAAACTGTTGCTTGAGCAGAGGGCTACTACAAGTAGTATTCTGGCCAGGACTTGTTATTCCAAGACTGTGTTTTCCTACAATGTTAGAGAATTTGAGTATCATTTTTAGTGACTGGCAAAATTTGTCATATTCATACAGATCCATAAATTTTTGTGCTTTATCTGTTTCTCTGTTGTTTAAATATATCAACATTATAAAGCTAATCCAGTGAAGGGTTTAGCTCTGACAGTCCCAGGTGACAACCGCAGTCTGACTACCAGTAAATACTTAAAGTTAAGCTCCATATCCTACCTTCAGAATTCTCTACCTTAACCTGAAAGGATGTTTTTCATACTTGTCTCATTCTCGTTTTGCTGTTACCTGAGACAATGCAATAGCTAATAGTGAATGTGAATTCTGTAGATAGCAGAAGCTTCTGGAGAGGTTTGTGCAGTGGATTGAAAGACTCCATACCACCTGGTGAGCCACAAAATTATCAATATTGTTACCTCTCAACTCCCATAAACGGGATTCTCAAAGGGTGCCTTTTTTTCCCCCATCAGAAAGAGGAATTAGTTACAGTTAAAGGTTTTAGATGAATAAATGTGTTTATTCATGAACAATTAAAATAAAATGCAGATTTGCAGAGTGAAGAACACAAGCATGCATGGACCCACCCTTCCCTGAACTTCCTGTGAGCATCGCACCATCAACACCAAACTCAAAAGCATTCTTCCTAAACTATTTCAGTGCTACTTCTCCAGTGCTTGCTAAAAACATAGCTATTGTCCTCTTTTTGCCTGCTTTCTGCCTCTCTTGCAGAGATACACAAGCCAATACAAAACAGTATTCACATGGGCAGAAGTTATAAAGATATGTTATGCCTCAGTTTCAGTGGATGCTAAGCCAATAGTATATATGATGAATTCTCAGAGGTATGGAAAGGATTCAGATGCATCTCTTAAGACAGATTAATCTCTGGTATTACTACTAGAGATATCAAAGATGACTCAATTCCCAAATACAGACAGAAACTGAAAAAATGGCATAGAATACATTCATAAAAGTAGTTGAATTAAGGTTGCAAAATTTGATTGTCTTTCTCTAATTCTTAGTACCCTGACTTTGGAACTTGAATTGCCTTTTCTTTGCATTATTTAAATATTTTCATGAACATGTATAAACACACACACATGCTGTCCCTTAACAAAACCTGAAACTATACTAGCTACATTACAAAAATAATGAAACAAAATGGTAGCATTCAGTGCACATTTCTCAATCTTGTCATTTTTCTTAAATCGTATTTCTTAAATCTTGTCTACCATATAATATATACACAATATATATCCATGACGAATATACAGCCATCTATACATGCAAATATACACACTAAATTAAAAATGTAGAGGTTTTCTTTTGTTGTTTAGAGATACTGTCTAGCCACTTTCCATAAAATTCCATGTAAGAAATACTAGTTCCTCACATAAAAAGCAAACCACTTCCACAAGTAAACTTACATCATGCATGGAATCCATCAGTTTTGTAAGCTGATAGAAACGCTGCGAGTTGGCCACAACGCCTTTCTGGCGCAAACCAATTGCTTTCACCAGTTCTCTAATATAACTTGTTCTCATCTCATCAAATTGGCTTTGGCTTCTTAGACCTTCCAAAGGAACTAAAAAGAAAGTAACACTTCTGTTGCAATTTATTCTGAAGGCAATAGGAGAAATTTAAAGTACAGAACAATTTCTAGTATTTCAGACTGTGGAGTGCAATTCATTATTATACTTCAGGTCCTTCTTCTTGTTCAAAGGCTACTCCAGAAGCAGTGACAGAGTTAGTGTCCTGGGATATACCAGCAACAATCAGACATTTCTGCTGATTGCTGATGTCTAGAAATAGCCATAAGCTTCTGCAGACACCTGTCTGCTTGTCCTGGTTTTGACTGTGATAGAATTAATTCTTTTCCTAATAGGTAGTACAGGGGTTAAACCTGTCCAGTGGATAAACCCCTGGTAGTTGGGGTTAAACCACAACACTGCTGAAGATGGCTCAAAGAACCACTCCCATACTTGAATAAAGCTGTTATGAACTGGCTTATGTTTACACTGATGAGGGTTCATGTCTGTTCATAGCAGATTTACGTTAGAGAGATCTAGATGGAGCTGGGACTTCAAAATGGAGTCAAGAACTAACAACTATTAAGTAGTGTAGACAGTAAAGCATCCAGTGTTCAGGCCTTCTGTTTGGACCTCTTAATAGGATAGTTGCACTATTGGAGTGAGCATGTGAGCAACTTTTTAGAGAGATTGGCAAGGAGGGGTAAATGGTTGAACTCACTCTTCTCTTAAAGGTGAGCCATGAGGACCAAAATGAGAATATGGAGAAAACACTGAGAAATACACCCGTTAATGGCTGTGATAAGATCATATCTGATTGCTGACAGTATGTGCTGGTGGCATTGTAAGGAAACAGTGCAAGCTCTAGTCTTTACTTTCGTGGCATGGTGATGTGTAATACACAAGTCTTATAATTTATGTTGTCAGAGGCAGTTAAGAAATTAAAAACTTTAAGAAATTAAACTCTAAAAATTATTCCCATCTGGCAATCAAATGTAAATCCTTCTTCATTCTACTAATCCTACAGTAAAACATGCTCTTGGGCACATGGAATGTTCACTGTTTTGGAAGTATCCTTAAAAAGAAATGTAGAGATGCTTATTTTTCTCCATGGACTCTGAAAGAATGTCATAGGGACTAGCTCAGCTAAATAAATCTTCTGATAGTTATCTAGGTATCTAGAACATTTCAAACTGGTATCAGACCATGACTAATAATAGGGCCACAACAGACTTCAAGGGAAAAAAATTAAAAAATTAAAAAATTGGTCCATAATTAGATAGCAAATCCCACACTGTGAGCAACACTGCTCTCTGTTCAGGAATCACAGACCCTGTTCTGAAATCAGCTGCCTAAGTCATGTCTGGTTCCTCAGAAAAACATAATGGGAAAGGAGACACTTCAGGCAAACAGTAAAAGTCCATCACCCCAAACCCAGAGAGAACTGTCAAGGCAGAAGCTCATGTCTCTGTTCTACTTGAGTTAAGCAGAAGTCTCCTGTTTTGCAGGAGACTGCCCAGGAGAGGAAACAATCCCGTTCGTTTGCCGAGATTGTCTCTTGCTCAGTGTCTCCTCTGACAGCTGGGTGTCCAGGGGAAGGAGAGACACACATACAGAAAATAGCAGGTTTACTTTAAAGGTAAGTGTCTAAGCACTGAACTGGGCTACAGAAGTCAGGGTCTGACTGCTAACTAAAACAGATTCAAACAAAAATAAAAATAGAGAATAGAAACTGTGACTGCTTCTACGGAAAGTACATTTATTACAGTACACCTAAGAACAGTCCAGCTTTTAGGAATGCCATGTTAGGTTTTTTTCAGTGGCTGATGGAGATAAAATGCTGGATGAGGTGGGATTTTAGTTTGACTCAGTATGGCCTCTCAAGTCCAGATAGACAAAGGAGGTATCTGAAAGTGTGGCTGTCACATCTACATCATAGGTCTGAATGGAAAGCACAAGTTCTGGTTTGCAGAGAATACAATGTGCTGAGGAATAATACAGGCAGGAATACTCATGGCAGGGGAAAGCTGAGTCATGGAAAAAGAATAGCTTGATTTTCAAAGCCTGGGTGGCTCAGGGTATGTCTTAACAGCACATTTACAGACATCTAGGAAATCTTTTTCGTATCAACTGACATTCTGATGGAATTTAGGGTTAGATGGATGATACCCTTGACTTTTATCTATAAACCAGCAATTTAGCCCTTACATTTCCTTTGTGAATTAAGTTAAAAGATTTCTTCCAGCAGTGAATAGCCCATTTCCCTAGAATTCTGCAAAAGCATGGTCACATTCTTGTTTAATCACAAGAAGTTCCACTAAGCTATGTATTTGAGTGAAGAATTACAATGTGTTACATGCACAAATGCAACTTAAGCACAGTTAGCTCAAATGTTCCTTCCCTCTGAACATATGTAAAGAACGTGGATGCTTGTATGCAGTGGCAAGAACACAGCCAAAATCTTGTGCAACAAGATTTTGCAATTCCTCTAAATCAAAGTCTGGAAAGTGTTTGAGCTAGAACTGAACTTACTATATGCTTATTTCTCTCTTTTTCGTACAGGTCTGCTTTCTTAAATCAAGGCATTTCTGAACTATTCATAGTACTACTTCCCAACTGCACACGGCCTCTACAAAATGGAGCCCTATTTAGAACTTACGGGGCACTGCTACAACACAGCATGTTGCATACAGTAAACAAGGACCTGTAAAATAGGAACAACTGCAGAACGTAAACATGTTGGTCCACTTTTGAAAAGACTAATTCTGCTTTCAAGACATCTTTGAAACTGTCACAAATACAATACATAGAATACACCTAAGTCATAGCAAACTCAATGGAAAAACTGTAAAATCAAAAATAACGTTAACACGTAGGCTGGGGGGGGCATTCAGAATTAGAAATGTATTGAAACTGACATTCTGTTGTGCTTAATGCAAATTACTGCTTCTTCAAAATGATAGAAAAAGTAAAAAAGAGTTCATCTAAACAATAAATCAAACAGAAGACAGAATGAGAAACTAAAAGTTCAGACTTGATTTACTGTTAGTATATGAAAGCTTGAAATGGCCATACTTTCACATTTGAAGAGGATTAAAATGAACACCATGACTGAAATAAAAGTAGTTTTAAAAAACACTTCAGAGCAACAATGAGGTTATATGTTTTTTTGAGAAGAGTTTTGTGGAATTATATTTATACAGTACCAAACGTCTACTAAATGTCTCAGCAACAACGGTTAGGTGTGTTCCTTTTCCCAAAGATCTGACAAACTGTTTTTTCCTACAAGACAATAAGTGCAGGAGAGAACAAAAAGCAAAGCTCATCAGCACAGGTAGAAATACTTTCTTTTTTTTTTCCTTTATAACTAATTTCTTGCATATATATATAAACAAATCATCCTAAAAATAAATTTCTGAGTGCAATGCAATTAGTAAAGAATGGTAGTTTGATGAATAATGTTAAACTGATGTACACATATATGACAGGGATTGGATCATTGTAATGCTTCTTTTAGCTTTGAACATTCTGGGACAGAAATGGATGGCTGGAAAATCACAAATGGATCTAAATTTCACTGGAATTTAAAACTTCCCTCTAAGATTCAAATGATAGGCAAGGGAGTTCATTTGTGATGAAAATAAGATGGAAAACATTTAAACGAAGAATGCATTCAGAATTCAACAAAGCAACTGGATTTATAGCAGGGATGGATTTTCATCCACATTATTTTTATTGCTTTAGCAGAGTATATGGTTTTTTGCTATTATTTTAGTATTTTTAATGTTCATATGAGCTAAATTTAATCTTTACTGCTTATGCCCTGTTGAGACCAAGGGTTGTTTTAGCATGCAGCCAAGGAGAGCTTAAGGGGGAATAAATTTTAGCTCCTATGCTTTACAACCAACAAGCACATTATGCAGGATTTGCACAGCTCTCCTCTGACTCCATAGGTGTGTAGAGAACCAAACTTCAATATTTTTCCAATTTTATTTCTCAGAGGTGCTTATTCTCATTTCTAGTAGCACCTGCACCATTTTAAAACTTTCTATTTGGAGATTCATAACTAACAATTATGGCCTCAGCAGATGTACACGTTAGTATTTTAGAAAAGGTTGGAAGATACCTTCATCAAATACCACATTCCCCATTTAAAGTGGAATGCAGCCGTATGCTGGATGCTTTAAAAAATGTGTATGATTAAAAGTGACCATGGCTTTTGTTCTAAAGAAACAAACCAAAGAAAAACATTTCCATATCTTTGTGTTAAACTTAATCTATTTATAACTACAAGAGGCTGAATACGTGTTAATATTGTTTGCCATGTCCATCTCCCTAATTCTTTTGAAAAAGTATGCTTTAAGTTCTTGGCCAAGATAAAGCCCTGAGTCCTGACAAATTATTAAATATTTTTCAGTGTATTTCTAATGCTTGTAAGGTTTTATTTTTTTAATCTGTATAAAGTCATTTAAGCTGAAGAGCTTCCAGGCAAAAATTCTGCACACTTGATTTGAAGATGAGAACCAAGAATGAATCACAAATTATTTGTTCCTTATAAACACTAGAAAAAATATTTGTAGGCCTTGGAATACTAACATTCCTCCTAAAGAAGCTTTAATTGGTTAAGCCAGACAGCTTAGCAGTTGTCAAGTTAAACAACATGGTTCAATACTCTTCCTAGTGAAAAAAATAGAAATCAAAGAACCTACTTGTGTTGAGGAGTAACAGCGCTTTCATACACAGAAACTCTTCTTGGCTAACTTGAAGTCTGACAAATTCCTGTGGGAGTTGCCACATGGATAGGCACAGGGAATAGAACGATGACTCTTTCATCCTCTGTCTTACCCAGAAAAGGTAAAAAGAAATAAAAAAAACACCAAACAAAAAACCACAACATGAAAATAAGGAACAGCTCCAGTACTGCTTGTTTGAAGAAAGTACCTTGTTAGCAATTTCATTACCACATTACAGAAATTGAAGAAAGTTTAGACACATGAATATTCTGACATTTTTGTACCTACAACCAACGGCTGGTTTTTAATTGTAATGAATGTGCTATTATTTGGATCTTACTGCCACCCAGAAAAACAAACAAAACCAAACCTCAGAGATTATGAAGGCTGAATGCTAACTACCAAAAAAGGGGGTTTATTAATTAAAAACACCCTAATGATTAATATTTTCTTTTAGACACTGACAGAGTTTCATATTCTCTGAAAAGATGTCAAAGCATGAAATCAAAGACAAACCTAAAAGTTTACAGAAAACTTCTTAGGTTTTGCAAAAATGTCTGCATCAAAATATTTTGTTGCAAGTCTAACACTGTACTGCTAACAGCAATGATATTATTTTGTAATGACTTATGTCATTAAAGACACAGTTACAAATGTTGCATGTAAATATATACCAAAGGCTTTTAGGTAAACTTAGACATTAGTACAGCCTTATCTAAATTAAGAAGTAACAGAATAAACCTCACAAGGAAATACATAAAATTGTTTACAGTTTTTTTGCAGCACTTCAGTCTTACTTTTCAAGATGTTGGTATAGTGAGTATATTTTATTGCATGCATTTATTGGGAAGGCAGTTTTCAACTGAAATGACTGCCACAATTGCATTACAAAGTTTGTAATCATCTGAACTGAATTCATTGTACATTAACCAGAAGATCCAGTAACTTGGGCTAATTTTACAAAGTCGCATCTCAAACCAGATGAATTAGGTAAAAGAAGAAGATTAAATTTCCCCCTCAACACCCCTGAAGTTTATACAGCATTCCAGACTGACTGCAGATAATACCTTCAACAATGAAAACAGAAGATATTTTCCATAAACAAAAGGCTTTTCTCAATGCACTGAGGTATCTTTCTTGTTATTTAAAGTGTTACTGTTATCATAAAAGAAATTTTTTTCAGCTTTGTTCAACATCTGATATCTTGTACCAGCTCTTAAATGACTCAGACATGGAAATTTAACCTGTTAGATCTGAATGGACTGGTTATTTCTACATCTACTTTAAATCTCTCTTCCTATTCCTTTCTGGTAGTCTCTATTCCTAATTATTATCTATGAACAGTGATAGCAGTTTTCAGGGTATGTTTAAATGCTGTTCTTAGTCATGTTTTGAGACACTGCAAAGTGTAAGTAACAGCAAATCTTTTTAAGAGCTGAAAACCTTTGTCAAACTAACACTCCTGCCTTTCTTCGTCCAAAATCAATGCTACCAAGCACATCATTCCCAAGGAGCACGACGACTCAGTTTGCTAAATGACAGACTGGCTGTGAAACAAGCTTTGGATTGTGGTTTCATGGTCATTTTGAAACAACTCAAGTGTGTGTTGCCCATGTGTCAGTATTTTCCATTATCTCCTTCCACCTCTAGGTGTGCACTCCCACTATTCCGGCATTAGTGCCTGCACTCCCATGTGGGGAGTCAGAGCAGGGATCACCTCCACCTTTTAATTAATGGCTTTTTCTGAGGTATTTCTCAAGCATATAATTTCCTTATCTGCTGGAAAATGCAGCCAGATAGTGTTTGACCCATCTTAAGTGAAATCATGGGGATGCATGACCAGGACAGTGCTTAGCAGTTACCTTTGCTTAAAGTGATCATGAAAGTACAATCTTAGACATCATTGTAGACAAGGAATTGCCTTACATTTTACTTATCTAAAAGCTAACTTATTTCCCAATAAATAGTTGCAGCTATGATTTAGTGCTCTGGTTACTTTTCACATCTAACTATAACATTTCCAGTATGACCTTGATGACATGTTCTACAACCAAAAGAAGTTTATGTATGTTGTCAGTACGTCTCCTCCATGTAGATGGCCTTGAGCTACAAATAAGAAGCTGTCTCTGAGTATAATCAGAGTTCATAAATCTAAACCCTATACTGGAAGAGAGTCTTCTTCACAAGATGGCAGCAGTGGTCCACACACAGGGAAACACCCCAAGATGTGACATTGCTGCCTAATGCCATCTGACTTTCTATTTCTTATGAATGCAACCATGAGATATATCACAGAATATGCTGGAACAGAATACAGTCAGAAATTTTCTCAATCTCATCCCTTCAAAGTATTTCCATTTGTACAGCAAATACACATGGGAGAGGAAAGAATTCATTACACTGTAACTTCACAGTGATTTACGATCATCTGGAAGAGACAAGGTCAGGAGCTACATGGCCTGCTCCACCATGTATTTGCTATGAGGAAGTTCATTGACAAGAACTTTCCTATCTATACATTTTAAATTCAGATACCTAGGTCTTCTGCAAATCCACCTCTTAATCCTTAAACAGACATGTCTTGCAAGAAAACTGTTTAACTTTCATCCCACTTCATAGTAGTTCTTTTAAGATTTTAAGAAAAAATAACTAAAAAATGTATTAAGGAAAAATAAACAAAGATTAAATAATGTTTTACTGTTCACAGAAACCTCCCATGTAGCATAAAAACTGTATCTATCTATATATCTTTTCTGAAAATCTGACAAACTGTAATGACGATTATCAGAATTAATCAGCATAGTGAAGAAAAATCTAAGCCAACAATCTCTCCCTCAAGACAGAAAAGAGCAGTTTCACATATTTTATCCTTGATATTAAAATTCCTTCTTGCTAAATCATTACAATTTTCTAACAAGAAATGGCCTTCAGAAAATCAGAGCTTCATCAGAAAGTGTCAAAACTGAGTATTTAGTCTATACATGAACTATCTGCAAAAAACACTCAAACAACAATGATCAAAGGAAATCCCATTCTTAAACATCAATTCATGTCTTATTCAGGTGAATGCAGGTAAATCTTCCAACAGCATCATTTTTAATACATTTTTCTCTTAGGTAACTAAAATATTATTCAAACTTTTTGTTTGGCCATGCCAGCAGAATATTTGGGATTCCCACAAAACGCTTCCCAAGTTACTTTACTTTAATATGATCAGAGCACTTGGCTGTTAATTCTGAAACAGAAAAAAGTAGTGAATGAAATCTTGGTCTCAAGGAAGTCACATTCTCACTGACAGAAGTAAGCTCAAAATATCATTCATGTCATGCAAGAGCAGTTCTACTTACTCATTTAGAATCAGATCTGGTGCAAAATACAACATCTGACCACTGACATGTTTGTATGATCTCCATCCCATTGCAAAAACCATTAGACTCATCCATGAGTACTGGATGAGGGTTATCTGATCATCGATATGTAAATTCCGAAATCCTGGAAATTAAATGGAAAGTTAAAATAGTTCATAATTTTCATTTAGACAACAGCTGAGTAGGTGTTCTGAGATTGCATTTCGAGCATTTGTCTTTTCAGGTGTTGTCAGTTTTATAGCTCAAAGTTCAGCCAAGAGGTATGACAAGCAGAAGCTGCAATGGTGAGGAGCAGTGATAGGTACTATCTTTTCCTGCAGCAGCGAAGTGGCACACTGAGCTCACATGAAGTTGTGCTTTCTAGTCTTTCTGCTTGATATATTGATTTTTATATATGCCATAGGATCAGGCCCCTATGACCATACAGCACACGTACATGCATAACATGATTTTTTTTTGGAATCCACAATTGGATCTTCATACATTCAGTTACTTCTCATTACCAGTCTATTTGTGAGCTGCTTAGTCTGAACTGGTACTATTTATTGCAGCTTTTCTCTGTTGCTTTCAAAAATTCATTTTAATAAGAAAAAAGAATATGCAGAAATATAAGCATTTTTTAACACAAAAAGAATTAATAACAGATTAGGAGGGGTTGAGGTGGAAAAGCTGCTCTAACAATCACATACCAGAACTCTCCAGGCTTCTACTGATTTTCAGAGTGAGTTTCAATGGTTAGATGCATTCCTTCAAAAGTGCCCCCTTATTAAAATGAATTTGATCAGATATATTATCTGATTAAGCAGAAGTTTGATCATTTTAGAACTTTAATTAACAGGCAGACAATAATATCCTCTTTTGACTGCTCATCCTAGGACATATTTGCTTAACTAGAATTCACTACATATAAGAAGTGCTATTACCTGGTAGCAATTTAGACCATTTGACCACACAAAGAAGTTGCCTCTCACAAAGATGATTTAGACTGGTCAGCAAGGAACTTGGTGTTTCAGGTTTTGTATTGTCATAACCTGCATAGACAACTTCTGGCTCAATGCCTCTTAAGACACTTATCATTGGGGGAACAAACTGTATTTCTTGATTTGGAGAAAAGGACAGCTTTTGGGTAAGAGACTGGCTTTCATCTTGAAGGGTCGCTGGCTGCTGGAGTGCAGCATCTAATGCTCTCACAACCTTGATTTTGTTAAACTTTTTAAATTTTCGACCTGAAAGAGAAAATTGTTGAACCGTTAAAAAGAATTAACCATAAACACTAATACTCTCCATTAGTGGTGGATTGCACTTTTAATCTATACAAGGAAACTAGAACTGTCTTTGGAGTAAGCTTTTTATTTCTTTGTCTATTTATATAATTAAGAATAATTATGGAAAAAAGAGTTCCTACTTCCATATCCTCCTCCCTTCACTAAGAGATGAACGGAACCCACCCATTAAAATTATTGCCATGAATTCCAGGTTACAGTAACCTCATAAAGTGTTTTCTGGTTCAGTTCCCACTGTTCTATCATGTGCTGACAGCAGAGCCAGCTGGCTCTACAACTCAGCTTCTATTCAGTGTTAACTTAAGGATCCTGTTTCTTTTTTCTCCCTAATACTCAGAAACAAAAAATGCTAGTAATTCATTACTACACACAGAAATTCCTTTCCTCAAGCTCCACAAAGGCTTTTCAGTCTCATGGCTAAATTCTGTTTTGACGATCTGTAGGGTAATATATTCATCCTGTTTTCCAGAAAGAAAATACAATTCAAGGGATGAGTGAAATGCCAACAAATACTGTAAAACCACATGCCAACACTTAAAAAACCTCTTCACTTTCTGAAGAACTATTTCTCTGTCTCAGTATTTGTAATTCCTATTTTCATATTGCAGCAGTTTGAAGAAAACTAAAGTAACAGAACTGCCTTTCCAAAATAAACACAGATACTACATCTGATATGGCTATGGAAATATACAGAGCTCTAGGTTGCAACTCTTCGAATTTCTTTCATGGAAACAGTCTCGCAGTACATCATACAGACACGGAAAATCAGATCTTCAGGGGTTCAAAGACAGTAACCCTCAGTAACATGTTACCATATTACAAGTTTCATGAAAAAATGGCTGCACGGAACAGATTTCCTTTAAACAGATCCTCAAAGGTGATGGAAACCCTGTTAGATCATTAGTTCTGCCAAAGAGGTTTGGCTTAGTGAAAAAATGGATAAAAATGGAATGAAGACACTGATTCTTATGGTCTGATTTACATGATGGTGGGACACTTAGAGAGATGCAGGGTGATAGCAAAAAAAATAAAAGGGTAAATCATTCTGCTAACAAAGAAAAAAAAAGAAGTTTACATGTTTCAAGTTTACCTTCAAGAAAATAACAAGGAATGAGAAGGTTTTGCTATAAAAACCATCCAGAAATCACACGGGTATTTTTACTCATTGAGGTATTGCATACTTTAACAATAGTAGAAAAAGAGATGCACCAGATTTCACTGGGTGAAAAGAAAATCCATGACTATCAGACTGCTGAACCACTGAGAAACTGCATTATAAAATGCCAACATGTAAAAATCACTCTGAAAGTATGGGAGGTGAAAATAGAAGCATAACAGTATGCATCTATTTGGTTGAACTAAGATCCCGTTTATAATGTGCATATTGAATTGTCTTTTAAAATATGGTACTTTTATTTACAAGCAACAGATTAGACAAGGGAACTCACCACCTTCTAGAAAAAGAGACAAAGACGTCTCCATCTTTCACTGCCTTCTTTTTATTTTAGTTAAAAGTAGTGCTGCTCTGTCAGAATGCAGCCAGTGCACCAAAGAGACCCCAGGACACGGTAGTAGGGAAGCACAACTAAACTTAGGCACATGCTCTGAATCCATTCTCCATCATTTATGGAAGGAACCCCAGGGATGCTAGCATAGTCAAACTCATCTATTACTTTCCTCCTGAGGAAAGTCCCGGTCTTCCAAACTACACAGTAAACCAGAAAGGTTCAACAAAATTGACTTTATGTAGGAACATGCTTATTCCATTTTCTTCAGGTGTTGCCATACCATACAAGATAGAAAATGTTATGAAAATCCAGTGTTTCTATTTTGGAAGACCTAGTACGTACACTTCAGAGAATTAAACTGACCTTTTCAAAACATTCATTAGTAGTACACAGGTAGTATAACTTCAAACAAGATTAATACCTGGGAAGATTCCTTATGTCATTTTTAAATACTTTATGCAGAATGAATTCTATTACTTAAATCAACTATTCTTGATGCACCCTGGCATAACTGGAGGCAGAATCATTTTGTGAACCAGACAGGACTGAGCAGATGAACACGATCTAAAAAGCCAAAATTTGCTTTAAAAAGTAATTTTCTGTTATTCCATCACAAATATGCATGTTTATGCACTTCAAATACAACAAAGTTGTACCCAAAAGTGCAAAACCTCAATTTAAATTAAAACAATATTTAAAATCCAAAGGGTGTATACTAAACAAAATTTCAAGAAACACTACTGATAGTATAAATATGAATGATGGACTCTTTGGTCATACTCATCATGCAATGGAGTCAGGGCTCATACTCCCACCAATTTGTGAGTTTAATTAGCTTAGGATCATGCGCCCCAACAATCTTATGCACATTTCACCACTTGTGGTAGAAATATAAATATTGCTGATCAGTGACTCCTTAGTGAAGAATCAGACACAAACTTACTTACATTTTGTTACATTTATGTTAACAGCTGAACCAAAAAAAAAACACCCACAAAAGAATAGACAGCATATTATGACAAGAGACCTAGGGCCAATTTCTATCATAATATAGTCTCAAACATGCTGGGAATTTCCCACTAACTATTGTTTAGGCATGAAGGAAAACAGAAGGAACAATATATTTGATAGTTCATAAATAATGATTTCAGGTATTCGCTGAAATAATGGCTTCGGATACTTTTACAGTTCAGAGAACAAGTAAAGAAAGAAACCAGAGTGTTTATCACATGGAAATGTTAGTAGTTAATAAGTACCCATGTTTCCAAGTGATTAAATGTATCAGAATTAATGTCACACTGGCTTGCAGAATTGCTTATGCGTTTATTTCTAATTATGTTGCTTAACAGCCACTAGAAAAGCAACTCCACTTGTTACCTATCTACTGCAGAGGCGCCTAATAACTCACAGTAAACTTGCCCATCCACCACAAGGAGACCACGTCAAATTAACGCAAATTCTTAAGGACCTAAAGAAAACAACAGATATTTGATAACAACTTAGTTTTCAATTGCTCCTTACAAAAATATCCAGATAAATTCCTGCTGTAAGATAAACAAATGCCTTCACTTAGTCCTATAATGTGTAAAGAACACTAACCCACTCTGGCCATTATTCACCTTAATACTAAAACTTGTCTATGCATATTTAGACAGCACACCTTCTCTTTGGAAGATGTTCATTAGTTTGTTTAAAGATAGACAACCAAACAAGATGCTTCCTAGTACTCACAGTTCCCTTACCCTCAATTATTATAAATAGCATGAGTAGTGTTTGTGTACATGTACCTAGAAAACATAAAGAAAAAAAAAAAAAAATCTCATTATCAAATCTACTAAATCTCATTATCAAATACCTTAGGATTTTCTCTTTGAAATATAATTCTGTATTTTAATATTCTTTTAACTGGGCATAGAGAACCATACTGCCAATCAGCAATTACTGATAACAGACATTTCATCTTAAAATGGCTGGGCTTTCTAGTAAAAGTCTAACATCATACTATCCTTCTCCATACCCTGTAATCAGGTGAAAAAATATTGATAATTTATTATTCTTGACAGAACACTAGGCTTTGACTTTAAGGTCACTATGCTCTTGCATCTTGCGTAGGAGAATAAGCTGTACACACCTTAAGAGGGTGTATACAAAATAAAGGAACAAAGCAGCAAAGCAGAAGTAATAGATCTTGATTTTAATAAACCCTTTAATGCTACCTCCGAAAGCATTACCTTGAAAATTAATTCAAATGTGTCTGCATGTAATCACTGCAATGTGGACTGAAAGCTGACTGAAACAATGAAGAAAGCATTAATTTAGCAATACAGCTGAACAAGGAATCTGTGACAGCCAGCCTGGGAAAATTACAGATTCACTGAAAGAAAAAAAGCTAGGCATTTGTTTATTCCAGAACCTGACCCAGCTCCCTGCTGTCCTATTAGGTAGAAGATTAGAAAGGGAACAGATTAATGTGTCTAGTTAGGTGATTATAAAACTCAAAGACAATTAACAGTCCCCAGAGAATAACAATTAAGGCATTATGAATGTATGCTTTAATTGATACTTCCCTTCCATATACTAAGAAAGAAGAAACAGACCACATAGTGAAATTGGTTACTAAAGCTCTTTGCTGCTAGTCTACAATTTACTTAAAACTGACTACAATTTATTTTAGAACAATGCAGGTTCATTTCACTGCTTTGACATCAGGGTCAGAAAATGGAACTGCTGCCAGTGAAATATAATATTCTCTAGCTATATGGCTGCCACTCAGTAGTAACATTTAGCAGAAGATAAGTGTACTTCTCCCAGCAGTGGGTTTAATTAATGCAGTAAGAATCCTTAGAATCTTATAGTTAACATCCTGTAAAATCTTAGTCTTTTTGACCTTGATTAAGCAATATTGGAAGTCTATATTTAGTAACTGAAGGATAGCATTAAGAAACTAAGTAGCAGGAATGAAAGAACAAAAATATATCTATGTAAGTTCTGAATGGCTGAAATCAGAAAATGCACAAAAAATCTTAAAGTATAATAGACTATAAATATAGTATTTAAAATACTGACAATTCTTACTCATTTAAAATGCTCAAGAATGTATTTAACTATGGTTGTTTTTTTTTTTTTTCCATGAACTGGAAATTTGTTTATGGACACTTATGTCCTGGGGAAAATTAGCCCCATATATGAATCAGTATGTTCATCAGCATGGCAAGTCATGGGTAGGAAATATTCCACATGTGATACAATAAAGGAAGTATAAGAAATGGCAGAATAGGAAAAGAAAGATGACAGTAACAGAAGAAAGAGCATTATGGCCTAATTTGAGATTTTCTGGTGTTTTGAATTTTATATCTTCATTTCCTCATCTTCTGGCCTACATTTGGGCAGAGACATCTTTTACAGATGAGGGTGCTCAAACCTCACAAGACAACCTTACAAGTTGTCCTCAACATTAAAAGACAGGCATCTGCCACCTCCTCCTTTCCCAAGTCTTGCTCTTATCACATATTTTCCACAGCCCACTCTGGACCCCTGCCTCCCCAGCTTTCTCCTCTTCCAAACCTGGGCAAACAATGTTTCAGGTTCTGCCCTCATAGTAATACCTTTTTTCTCCTGCACTGCTACCCCAGGTCTAAACCACAACTTCTCTCTGAGAAGGATCCAAAGGTTATATTCTTTTGCTTTTGTCCCTCTTCCCCCAGTCCATTGCCACCAACACTTGTCAGCTCCATTTGCTTTACTGAGAGGCAGCACTGACTGCCCAAGGTGCAGGAAGGAGGGAGAGACAGTAACACCAATTAGATTGATGGCTCTCATTATCTCCAGCACTGTGAGGCTTTGCAGTTTCAAGACAACTCAAAGGAGAGGCAGCACTAAAGATCTAGGGAGGCTCAGGGGTGCAACACAGAACACAGTATATGCCATAGCACCGCCTCTCCTCCCTCTCATCCTGCTGGCTATTCCCTGCAGCACTATCGCTTACAGAAGATGAAGTACCAACAGCCACTTGCTGTTTGGGAACTACTGATTCACATCACCAATAAACGTATAGAGGCTAACATGATGGCCATATGTGCGGAATCCTCCAAGTCCATATATCTACAGGCACTGAAAGCGTAGAGCTGTGCAATCAAAATATCAGTCTGAAAACTATGTACACATTTAAACTTAGGAACACAGATTAGCAGGATAATGAAGTTATGCACAGCATATAATGCCAGTTCTTCATTCAAAAATGAAAAACAAAACGCAGACAGTGAGATAGAGATGTTTGATGCACTAGAATAAATTATGTTAGGAAGAAGTTATATTAGGAAGAAAATGTCCTTTCTTATTCATTCCCTTTGAGTACATATTATTTTTATTATCTTCATATAGGTAATTTCTTATGTATTAGCCATGTATTTTCAAGCTTTGTGGTGATCCCAAGCCTTATATAGCTAAAGTTCTTGTGAAAAACATAAAAGGAATACGGTTGAATTATCTTATAGTCCTTTCCAACCCTAATTATTCTATGATTCTATATTCATCATTCTCGCACGTTGGCATGGCAAAACTGTGACTACATAATCCTAAACCATTTATTCCCTGTCGGTTTTCAAAGGCACAGTGCTCAGTTTTGGTTCACTTCACATAAAAAAGGCAAATCTGTTGCAGCAAGAGCTAAAGGTTGGGATCCCAAAGATGGGATTTGCCAACACCTAGTATGCAAAGTCTGTAGTGTTGGTGCAACCACTACCAGGCCCACTTTGGCAGAACACAGTACATGTTGACACATACTCAGAGCAATTACAGAGAGCACAACAGGAAAGTGAAGGAGATAGTACTGATTCTTGATTTTAGTGTCCATCTCAATTTGCTTCTTTATGTTTTTCCTAAATCTAATTTCCTGTTCCAAAATTGTTAATAAACACAAACTAAAGACACAATTCCTGCCCTTGAAAAAAAATGACTATGAGCACACAGGGTGGGAGAGATTCTTACATAAAGGTATTTTTCTTTCAGGATTTCCAGACTCATTAAATAAAAATTATAGAGAGTTGTAAAACATCAGGTAATTCTTCCAAAACCAATATTTAATGTGATTCTTTCCTTTACAGTATGAAATCAATGTGGTCTAAACTCCACAAATTGAAGGTAGTGTTCTTGACTGCTCATTTTTCTGACTCAGATTTGAAAAGCAGCTCACCTCCCAAGACCATACCGGCTTGACAGCACTTCCTCAAGCGACATGCTGGACAGTTCTTCCGACGAATTTTATCAACTATGCAGTCATTTCTTCCAGCACATAAATAGTTGTGCTGCCCTGTAGGCAAGAGAAAAGCAGGATTAATACTGTCTTCTAAACCAACAAAATTACTACTGTGAATAGATGTTCCAAAAAGTAGAGGATTCAAAGATTACTTGAACCATTAAAGGTCTCCTTCATTTGACGCTTTCAAATAACCATGTGTTACTATTTAAATACAATAATTTGTCTGGCCTGTTTCAGAGTGAATCTCCCCTCCTATGAAATACCAAAACAATTAGCAGACAGAATGAACTGCTTAAGTTATGTACTATTGATATTTCTTAAGTAAATCAAGCATGAGGACACACCGCTTCATTTCATTCAAACCTATGTTTGTTTTAAGCTACTGTTCCTGATTTTAAAGAATTTAAGTAAATTTCATGTGGAGTTTCCAACCGAAAACTGAATGAGGAAGTCGGGGCACTGCAGAAAAGAGCCCTTTAAGCAGAGTAAATTACCTCTGATGGAGAAGCAGTTTTGTACTAGACCTACTGAAATGCCAACTAAACAGATGCAGCCAACAGAACCATAAAGGACTACCAGAAGAAGGCTGTAACTTTTTGGTTTTGGTTAGATCTTAGTTTATTGTTTAATTCTGAAGGTTTCAGTTCAGAAAAGCCTGTCATTACTGTATTAGAATAGAATTTTTTTAATGCAATCAGCTTCCAGCAGAGCAAAAAATTAAATTCATCTGGTATTTCGGCATTCTTATGGACAGAAACTTCAATACCTCCAAATTTCACTTGAAGACAATGACAAAAACGTATTCTTATGCTTTAGTATGATACTGATAATTTCTGTGATTTTAATTTTGACTAAGAAAACAAAGCTAAGCACATAAGTAAGAAGAAATAAAAGCTAACTTTCACTTATCCTTTCAAATTAAGCCCAGGTTTGCCCTGTAGGGTTTAATTTCAACATCTGTTTGATTACGCACATCATCCTCTGTGCATGTCTGTATTTTCAGTTTCTTACCAGTACCTAGCATGAAAGCATAAAAAAGAAAACCAAAAGTATTTATTCTGAGAGCAACAAAATGGATCAAAAAAGTGTGGACAACCTATGCTAGACCCTTAAAATTTTCACTACTTTCGAGACCAGAATTACTCAGCCATCTGATGTCACCAGTATCAAACAAATCTGAGGTGATTATTCTGCTCAGATGCTGCTATTCAGCTTTCTATAACCATGTTCTGTCCTTTCTCTGCACATGGTAAAATGAGTAACTGTTCACCAGTAACTTTTCTCCACAGAAGACAAAACTGAAAATGAATCCTGAGATGAAAATGCAGGAGAAAGAACATTCTACTGTAACAAGAGAGCTACTGCTAAAGTACATGAAACAATGTATTTTTTTCTGAGCTAGCATTTATTTTTTTTATAATTAATATACTCCTTACCCATATTTTTAAGAGCAACTTAAAAAACAGTTGCCTCACGCATTGCCTGGCATTTAAAAAGTACTTAGCAATGCAGGAAATCAGAAGAAATTATAACTTAATTCCTCCCATTAATTCTAATCCCAAATTCCTTCTCACAGGAAAATTACCAAAAGTAACAAAATGAATACAAATCTGGCCTGCTTCAAGCAGCAGACCAGAAATCAAAACACTTATTTTGAACATGTCTTCCCCAGGATTATGTGCAGTTTTCCCTCATCTTGCTTTTCCTTCAATAGCTACAAAAGCATTCAGTCTTTTGATAAGCAACAACAGTTTAAAAACTCTGATAGTTTAACTAAAATCTATGAAGCATCAGATTATCTCTGCACTGTAGCGTTCTGATGCTTTAATGTAATTAATTTACAAAGGAATGCTTAAGCACAGGTTAAGTTTTGTTTGTGAGTGTCTTGGTTTTGGGGGTTTTCTTTGGTTCCCTGAAAGGAACCTCTTCTAGACCTCTTTTCTAGGGAATCTTTTGAGTCTACACAATATTCTCTGAGTCCATAAACCCCATGTCCATTACAAGACCAAAAAATGGAATACGTATTTCCAGTATGGCAGCAAATGCTCACAAGCAGGTCACAGTGCTACAGACATTGTAGCATTGTAGCACTATAGCATACAAGGTACATACTTTCCCCTATAATGGCTCTGAAAAATGCTGATCTACAAAAGCCAGTGCCACATTGTGAAATATGTCTCTTTAAGCACTCAAGAGAACACTGTTTACAGTTCTAGAATGATGTCAGTATTTAAAATACACTCCTGTTATCAGGATGTGGTTTGCGTACCCAACACCCAAGCGTGTGCTCTAGCTGCTAGAGGAGGCTAAGGACTTCGGGTAGAGGCAGCAAGGGCAACACTGTTCCTGCTGCAACAGGAAATTATTTGGAAAAACAGAAGTTAGTGGTTTGATTTATACTGATAACATTTAAATAGCCTGCATTATTTATCAAATTGTAGAATTTTAAATTTAGAGTTACACATTTCAGTCTAGCCACAGCTCTTAAAAACTTCATAACTCAGGGGTTATCAGTAGATCCAGCTTCCACTTCAACTGGAAATACATAACTTACTTCAACATTAGGTAACAACTCAAATTGCTTGTTATAAATCCAAGAATGAACATTTGCAAAATAAATTGTAAGTGAATCACAATTATGAAAACTACTCTTCAATGTTTGTATGTTCTAGACTTTAAAATTAGATTAAATAATTAGGATTAAATAATCTCTCTGTTCAATACATACCATGGAAGAAATGAAGTCTTTTATTGGAATTTAGACACAGTAAGAATTTGCTTTGATCTTCAGAAGGTATTATTTCATAACTACTTCATAAATTGTACTTACGAATCTAATTATGACCAATGACCTAATCTTTTTCTGTCTTCACCTAGCTTATTTCTTCCATAAAGCCTCTATGATACTAGAATAAAAAAAAGCCAAAATCCTAACCACCCAACCCCTCCATGACATTATGTCAACTGATAATATCTCAGTCACTTCAAGTGGTTGATGCTTACTGTCAACTACCTCGTCTTCAAGACTCTACACAAGCCAATCACATCCTACACTTGAATTATACCTTCATATGAGTTTTCCACTCTTCTTGCTTCTACCCAATACCCAATACCTGCCATCCCAAAGTGTATTCCGTTCATTCTGATTCAGCTGCAGCTTATGTGGAAAACAAAGGTTCATTTTTTTTTATATATATATAGTATTTTTCATAGTCTCATCTGTCAAGGACTTTCCTTATAATGTCATTCATCTGACTGGACCTCATATCTATAGATTAATCTGTGAATGTTTACTTCTGAGAACGTTTCTACCATTGTGCAGAGTTCTGAGAAACTGATACTTGTTTGATGTTGTGGCAGCAACTACTTGAAAGACATTTAGTTTAAGAAATGGAAAACATGCCATATATTTGGTTAATTTCAGAATTACAGACAATATTTAGTTAGATGAAGCTTTTTGTAATGTTTTCATGGGATGCTAAAACATTCAGTTGAAAATACACTTGCTGTATCTCAGTCTTCATGATCATCTATGTTAACTGGCTTCAACACGTGAGCATTAGTTACATTAAATGCATGTACTAATAAAGTATCTAAAAATCCTCACCAAGATAAAATTCCTGTTCAACTGGTAGCTAATCATTCAGTATCCTATTATAACCAGGGAAAAAAAACAAACAAAACAAAATAAAAAAAATAAAAAAAAAAATAGGTAGTAGTCTAATAACCAGGCCACAGGTCAGAAGGTGAAGATGGGTATTTGTGTTTCTTACAAAAACATGAATCTGGCAACTTTCTGCAACTGCCAGTTTCTCATAAGAATTCGCCCAATGCTGTTTCCTATACCCTTACTTTTCACCTCTTTTTGAAAGCGCACATAGTAGCTCTCTCTCAGAATATCAACGTATCAGCTTGAAACCTGGATTTGATTGAGAACATGGAGAAAATACAGAGGTGATCTCAGCTGTTACTCATACGTTAGATTCTTGTAGGACAGCTTTTTTCTCAATCTCTGTCAAAGTCCATTTCTGTTAGCAAAGGTGGTGGTTCTAACTCAAACAGGCAAATACAATTTTAAGTGCTGTAATGACTAATGGCAATTTTGAATGAGAAAGTGGTCAAAATGCCAATGGTCCACACACACAAACACGATCATATGTTTTGCTGCACAGACCATACTCCAGCATGGAGGCATTTTAATCCAAATACTGCTGGAAGCAGCACTTACAGGGATCTTCAAAAATTACTGTATTATCTGAGTGACATGCTGTAAGTCACTTAAAATAATTCAAATAAACTAATGAGTTGCAGAGATCTTGTGGATATGAAAAATATGGAAACCATAATGCTTTAGCTGCACTGGGGGTGTAAGATGCAAGTGATTAGTTATTATTTGTGTAAGTGCATCTATGCTGAACTGCTGCCAGCCTAGGCAGAAGCAAAGCACTGAAAATCACAGAAACACAGAACGGTTCAGGTTGAAAAGGACCTGAAGATCATCTAGTTCCACACACATCCCCTATACCACTTGTTTGCAAACTCTCAGTTCCTCCTGTCTGTAAATACAAGTACTTTTGCCAATCTTTTTTTCTCTCCCTATATATGATTCCACCTCCCTGTAGCACTCAAAATGGGCAATACTTCTGTATAAAATCATCCTATCCCCACAACTGGTGGACTGTTCTTTGCAAAACATATCACAGTATATTTAGTCTAGTTTTAGACTTCTGCCGAAAACCAGCAGATATCCATTGCATCTCTTTGCAAATTATTCGATTGCCAAATCTCTATGTTAATTTTTTTGTTTCCTAAGTGCTAGCTTCCAGTTTTTGCTCAATGTTTTACTACCAACATGCCTTATATCTTATTTTCAAAAGTACCAATAAAATCAATAGGTTTAAACCAAACCAAACAAAAACAAAACAGAAAAAATCCAAAGGAATGACTCTTTTGACATAACTAAATTTGGAACTCCTGGTCAGGGGTTCTTGTGGAAGCCAATAATAAACATGGTTTCAAAATAAACAAAATGGAAAACAGCTTCACCTATA